ACCACATTGGAATTGGTAGATTAGATTAGAGTTGGCGTACAGAGGCAGACTTTCTTTTGACGGGGATGTGGTAACCTGGTTGTTCGGTAGACGATTTGGGGGTCGGCTGCGTAGTAGGTTCGAGCGATTGCTGACCTCAGTCGTTTGTGGAGCAGGCGGCTTACGTCATCACATTGCGGGTCACATTATACCTTATATTAAAATAAGGTGTAATGTGACCCGCAATTTGGGAACTGACTCAATCGGTTCTTTCGCAATTTTCGGTTTGCTATGCCTATTAACAAACGCGTTTTTCGCTAAAACCTCCCGCAGGTTTTGCAGTTCTTGTTCAATTCTGTCTTCCGTGCAGATTCGCCTCGTTTTGTCAAATAAGGTCCGAACAAGACCACGTTTACACTCCAGGGGCATTAAGCTGTCGATGTGTAGATATTGGCATGTTCACGTTTCCTTTCGATAAACGGATCGAGCAATCGTTCCGTTTTCTCTTCTGGTCATAGTAATGCCAAGGAAATTGAGTGTGTTGTTAGATTCATATTCCATTGTGAAGTATATATTCGGATGTATTCTGTTGAGTTGATCCACAATTTTCGTAGCTTCTTCTAAGCTTTCTGTTATAACTAGAGTGTCGTCGACGTATCTTTTGTACAGGATAGCGCGTCCCAGAATATTAGTTACTTTTTCTTCCAGATGTGCCATGAACAAGTCTAACAGGACTGTGCCTCGCGGGCTGCCCATAGCGACACCATCGATTTGCCTGTACGCATTCCCTTGAAAAGAGAAAGACGCGTCGGTTGTGCAGAGCAGTAGTAGACGCTCAAGGACGGACACTGGTAGATACAATTGAATATTTTTTTTCTCTACATGATCGCAGATAATTTGTATGACTTCACGAACTGCTACATTGGTGAACATGGATTGAACATCGAAGGAAGCCATGTGTTTTTCTTCTATGTTGATCTTGTTCAAAATATCCACCAATTCAAAACTGTCCTTGACTGTATACTTGATCATTGATTTAAGGACTGGTTCTAGCACCTTAATCAGCCATTTTGCCATTTTGTGCTGTGGTGAGTTCGTCATGGATAGAATTGGTCTGAGTGGCACACCTGGCTTATGGAGTTTCGGTAGGCCATAAAGTTGGGGAATCTGAGTTCCTCTCGGCTTCAGGCCCCGCACGGTGTTCGAATCGATGAAATGTCCTTTTATTAAAAACTGAACTTCAGAGGCAATTTTCCGTTCTAGCTCTTTGCGGTCATCACATGCTGTTTCTCGTAAGAACTTGCTGGAGTCATTGAAGATACATTCTATCTTTCGATGATAATCTGCATGGTCCACCAAGATACCCACACCCCCGTCAAAAGAACGTCTGCCTCTGTACGCCAACTCTAATCTAATCTACCAATTCCAATGTGGTTGCGGAGCAACCTACGTGGGCCGAACAGAGCGACAGTTACGCAATCAGGTGGTGGAACATATTCCAAAATCAGCTGACCCAATTGAGGTCAAGTCCGCTGCATAGAAACGACGGTCGAAACTACAAGACCCCGGCCTCAGCAATTGCTCGACACCTGCTGATGACGCAACACCAAGTCGACCGAGGTACAGCGTTTCGAATTGTCTACAAGTCGCAAGTCGCAAGATTGCTAAGGTTTGCCGAAGCGATTGCGATTAATCGATGGAAGCCCCCTCTGTGCCAGCAAAAAGAACTTTATGTTAGTCTCTCCCTACCCTGGTGATATTGGTCCTTTTACCCCTCCCTCTTTTGTGTTTTGTCTGTTTTAATGTATTTTACTTTACTTTGTTGCCATGCTAAATCCCTATATAAACACTGTATTTTCTGCAGTATGCACCATGTTGAGATGCAGTGAAATCGTCGTGGACATAAATCGTGTAGTATTGCCATATGGTCTTTTCTCATGAAATTAATCTCGGGGATGGCTTGTTTCAGAACCATGATAATCATATTGTATTTGGGGCCTAACAGAAGCACATAATACCAAACAGGATCTCGAGGTTTTATTTAACTGCTCAGGATAAAGTAACTCACTAAGTAACACTATTTTATCATTTTCTGCTCATCGACTCTTTTACTTATTTGTTTGTGCTTAACAAGCAAATTTGGTACAAAACTGAGATTATTGCCACAAGTAATCAAACACCACATTTAAATAAGCATTTATCAACAGTGCAGAAGTAAAAAAGATTACAGAATCTGATTAGTAAGCCGAGATCGTTTCCACCAAATTGGTTCATCACGTGTCCCTTACTCCATTTAAGTAGTCCTCAACACAATGCACCTCTTCAGTTCATCGACTGGTACCACCATGTGATTTCCGAAGAAATTACAATCGCTAAAGCGTCGACCACGTAACTACCATGACCAAAGGAGCTCAGACACACAAACTGTGGACCCTCAATTTCTCCATTCCAGTTCCCGTGATCTCGTTGCTCATAATTTCAAGAACCGTACACCATTGTGCATTGATTCAATCACATTTCACAGTATTATGCGAAGGTGATACTCGTGTTCAGTTCTTTTATTTCACACTTTCGTGTGATGAATAACAGACGGGATGAACCCCATAGTCACAAGGACCTGCTGTTCAGTCATGGAAACCGGTGATTTAAGCCCCGGGACTTGGAATGGCGAACCACACAAGGCCCCACTAGGTCAGGAATGGTATCAAACCGGACGACAGCAAAGCTGCCTAGCACTGGTCAAAAGGAGAAATTGGTAATTATTTGAGGATTTGCAGACCCCGGGATTTGAGTACCGATTATACTGCTGTCAGTAAATTCGTTAGATATAAAACAAAGCTATAAAAATCTAAATGGTGCAGCAACCCATTGAAGATCGTAATCCCCGATTGTTTAGTGACTACTTGGTGGTTCCGGCTCCAAACCCGATAACGATTAAAGTCGTAGGAGGAAAGTGCCGTTCTATGCTCACTATGGGTCAATAAATCGACCATTTCACCTGCGGTTATAATAAGGGAATTCACCGCGGCATTAACACACTCCCAGATAATTCAGAGATTATAATGTGAATTTGAATGAACCACAGCAAATCATTCAAAATCCCTTTACCACTTATCGATTTGCGTGAAAGCAATACTTTAGTCTGCATTAATGACATGTAAGCGAAGCCCAGAAGAGGAAAATGAACAATAAAACAGAAGTAGAACAGCGAATTTTGTTGCTTGATTGTTGAACTCTTTAATCAACTTGAAGAGCAGAAATGATCTTTTATAAATTACGGTATTAAAATGAAATATCCGGAAGAGATGATTTGAGTTACATTAGTAATTTTCTCCTTAATGACTAAGAACAAGTTTTATTTCCTACTGTTTTCGGATTTGGGTAACTTTTGAATCTAATAACGGTTCTATTCAGCAATTTATGGTGCCCCATTTTGATAACACCTATATAAATGTCCGGAAAATCAACTGCTCATGATTCTTTACATGGTACGGTGTCTTGTTGGTAAACAGTTCAAGAATACTTTATTGATCTCTTTCCGTAGTTTGCATGTTCATTCAACTTCAAAACATACACTCTGTTTCCTCTGATTCCGAGCCAGAGCGTGACTCATTCAGTCTCATTGCTCCTCCTCCTTTTCCTCCTCATTGATGCTCGTGTGCACGGAGAAAATCAAACGTACTGATCGGATAACCGACATTGGAGCACAAAATGGATGAGATAATAGGCTGGGGGACAGCCCCTTTCTGGTTCGCTCCTTCCCTCCCCCCTAATGTTTGATATTTTGAGGTCAATTAACAATAGCCGAATGTCCGATTAACGAACAGTGTCGACGCGGTGAACCTGGAAATTCGACTCGGGGTATGAACAAATGAAAACGAAACGGACAGCGTGAATGAGTGCTTGCATCGTCGTGAGTATTTGACACCAAATTGGATAAATTTGGTGAAACATTGGGTCACGGGAAACGGACTGAAATGCCTCATCAATTATCTGCTTGAGGCCAATGGACTAAACGAACGGTCAAATATTTCTTTTAGACTTGCATGAGATTTTTAGTAGGCAAAATTCAGTTGGATATTTCACTGAAGTATTCGGAATGGCTAATTAGTGAAAGCATTTCACGTCTCATATGGCCGGCACCTGTGAAGATTTTCTCACCTTCATAAGCGTTCATTTATTCAAACAAACAAGTTCTTGCATTCAACACATTAAACCTCCACAAACGTTCGGGAAATCGGTTTATTTCAATAGAAAATGGTTTTAGCTTTCGTTTGGAAGGAAATGATATATTCACTATTGCTTTGCATAAATTTAATTTTTCGAGGGAAATGAATACCAAAACTCTTGGATCAACCGTACATTTTGCCATCACACTGATCATATTGATCGAAACTCAATGAACATGCTTGGAATGCCCATTCCTTGAATTCCCAGGGTTTCTGCTGCGGGGATTCGCGTTGCGTTTAAATTATTTGACAATGTTGTCGGCTTTTAGAGTTCCTCACATTTAAGTGTAGATTAGGACGGAATTGATTAGGTTACTGATGAAATAACTTTGTTCATATCGTTTCAGACAAGCAAACCTGATTTCTGCAGGTCACACACACTGCCAACACTTCAACTTTTTGAGTGATGTGTTGATGCAGTATGAGGTAAATTTGATTTGTTGGAATAGAACAACATGCGACAGCAATTGGCTCAGGAGAATTGTGGACATAGTGACAAACATCCGGTAGAGACAGATTTACCAAACGATTTAAAGAAACACGTTAAAGGGACCATGAAACAGAGCCGATGTTAACATTCTATTTGAATTTTTGAATGATTAGAGAAGTGCAGAGGCAAAACCATAAGGTACGGTAGACATATTTCTACTTTTACATCCTACCACGCACAATCACTGCTCAGTTCGGCGGTATCAATTTGTCTGTGAGTTTTTCAATCCCTTTCATCAGACATGGATCATACCAACAGCTACCGGTCTTGTTTCCTGAGAGAAATTCACTAAGGTTGATTCCGTCGTGAATCGATTTAATTATTAACAAAAGTAACGCCATTTCAGTATATACTGTATGATCCTTTCTACAGACCGGTTCTCAATAAGTGTAACTTGATCTATAATTGACTGCACAATTTCAATTAATTTTGCACTAGCCTCATCCCCCTCTGTCCGACTTTCCACAGCTGACAAGAACAGACTCATCATTTGAAATATCTGAATGCTTAGAATGGTATCAATGAGCCAAAATGTATGGAGAAGCAAACAGATCAGGCAGATTATAATTTGTCTGCCACACTCCGACCGTTAACCCATATAATCATTCTGTATGAAACAAAGCGTGATTTCTGAGCATTCTGTGTGCAATACGCCCTTTCCCTTAGTTCGGTTATCTAACGATGTGACAAGATCCGTCGCTCGTTTTGCATTCTCTTTTTTACAACAGTTTTTTAATATTATTATGATACCATAGAAAAACGGAGTCGATGACGATTCACTTAAGCATTTCTGTTTAAGAAAATTTGTTTCAGCGTTCCCTCCAGTGGTCAACTAAAGTGAATTGGATAGAACCTAATCGGATAATTTATAGTAAATGACAAATAAACATTTTATTTGTTTTCCTTTTTCAGTGCTTTCTTATGTTATTTCAATGTGATAACATTATAACTCTCAGGGGGATTCGAACCCACGCTTGCGTGTGTGATTTCTGTGCTTCTCTACAGCTTAGGCTCTGCCAACTGCGGTTCGGATCTCAAAGAGGTTTTTGTTGTTTTCGCATCTACAATAACATTAGACGATTGGTTAAAGTAATTACAAAGTATTCATACCAATACATCTAAATATATATCACTACTTGGGAATAATATTGTCTTGGGAAAATAAAATCACAGATTACCGGAAACGATTTCAACGTAAGACCGGAAATCGGGTTCACCAGGATCATATATTTGTTTGTCCACTTATCCGATCATCGTGATTATACGTGATACGGTGTGTGTGTCTCGTGGGTCAGGGAAGATTTAGTACTTACACGAATTGTTTTTGGGCACACAGTGGAGGGTTGTGCAGACGAATGCCCACAGCTTCTGTTGTAGCCAGC